CCTAATCATATATGATTAAAAAATATCAGGATAATTTGAAAAGCAAAGTACTGTACTTCTTATAATGATTTATGATAAGGGTTAATCATAAAATCAGTACAAGATATATAGTGAACAGGTTGCAAAAAAGAGAGGATCTATTATATACAAAATAAAATGGAAATTAAGGCACTGGGAAGATACATTTTACACTGCTACAAAATAAACCTTTGACCTAGTGTCAGTACAAGACAGCACTTTTAAATTTCAAATTATTTATGAAACTATTAAAAATTATATGATTTTATTTTATGGTATATAAGTTATTGTATAGAAAAATATATTAACAACAACTTTTCTTCATTATATATGCTATTAAATTTTTAAAATTTTAAATCTTGTAGAAAGAGATATATGTTATATTAATAACTCAAAACAAGTCAAAAGTATATGATATATATCAGTGCTTCTCAAACTGTATTCACAGACCAGTTTTCTTTCATTCCAATCCCTTGAAGACCAGTATTTTTGTGAAATTAAATAAAAATTATAGAGAGAATGGAATTTAGTTCTAATAATTTTGAAAAAATATGTTTTCGGGCCATTTTCAAGTAATTTCCTGGGCTGATTTTGCTAGCCAGTCTATCCCTGGCACTGAGTACTGTATTTGAATAATAAAGAAAAATGAAAGTAACAAAATAACAGTTTTAAATACTTTGTAAGTTGTTTTATTAACATAATACATAAAATTATACATATATAAACATCCCTAAGCCTGATAATTTTAGTAACATGCCAACATAATTTAACTTAAAATAATAGCGATAAAGTATTTAATCAGGTAGTAATTTGGTATATATATAAAAAATTATAAAATTTTACATAAAATCTACATACAACCCCATAATAAACTGTTCATGGATCATAATTTGAAAAGCACTGCTATATATTGTTGATTACAACTCTGTTTATGATTAAGTATAAAGCTACAGCTAGTCATTTATCATTTTATTTTTAGTTTGGTTTAGTTCTCTTGTTTCATAAACCATTTAAATGTAAAATTTATTTAAATTGCATGAATGTATATCTACAAAACTAGCATTCCATTTTCATGTTGTAAAAATAATATATTACAAAAATAATTATTTATTTATTTTATTTAAATTGCATGAATGTATATCTACAAAACTAGCATTCCATATTCATGTTGTAAAAATAATAATATTTAAATTTCATTTTTAGATAGTAAAATGAACATTTCGTTTATTGGTTCATAAAAAACAATTTTTATGACAATTTTCTCTATCCTTTTCTTCTTTTAGAGATGATCATGCCATTCATAACATGCATCCCGTTCTCTTGAATTAAATTTGTATCTCCAATGCAGGATTTATATCTGGATTGTTCCAGCTATAAAAATGATTTCGCTTGGGATTTTGATACATAAATCCACTAAAAATTCTCGTGATGCTCAAGAAGCATGAATTAGGAAAAATCTTCTCTTACAGATCATTGAACATCGATCAAAATTTCTCTCTCTTACTAAATTTTTAACTGGAAAAAATATACAAATTAAAATAACTGAAGTAAACAAAGTGCCATACGGAGAGAGAGAGAGAGGAGCACGATGGACATGATGATGTCATTATAACAAATATATTTATATAAATATATGTATCCATATATCTTTAAAAAATATATTACATGTAGAAGGTTTTATTTTTAAAACATTTTATTTNTGCTACAGAGTTTCACAGAGAACAATTTTTTATTTTATTTAATATACCTGGACACATACATAATTTTGCATTTCAGACACATTTGTCCCTCCTTATTTGTCAGGACTTATTATACTGTAAAGCCAGTATAAGTCCTGATATTAGAAGATACGTACTTGTAGACGAAAATTAATATTTTAGTAATAAACCCTATTCAGGCTACACAAATCTTCAGGGCCATAACTATATGGAGCTGATTGAGTCTCAGATCTCAACATATGAAGAAAAAATAGCTTCAACAATACTATCTCCTGCTGTCTTTATCTTTGGATTTAACTCTGTATTAACTGAAAAATAAATTATGTGGGTCCCAAAGTAGAAGGCATGCATTAAAAAAATCCAATACTTACTAAAGCATAAAACTTATGTCATCTCTACATATCAGTCTGATATACTTATAGTGAATCTGGCTTCATATAATAATAATATTTAGTTGTTGTTAAATAACAAATTTTAAAACTCTGTGGCTATATCACATTTCCTTACTCAGCTGTAATAATCCAATATAAATATATTTCTCATATTTTAAATGAGAATTTTGTATTTGTGAACAAATCATCAGTTTTCATGCATTTATAACATTCCATTTTCAAATTACAAATAGTAGATTACAAGAAAAAAATATTGTTTCATAAAACAAATTTAAAATAAACATTTTTATTAATATTAAAATAATGATGTATTGTTTTACATAATGTATTAAAATAGCAAAAGTAAAGATAAAAGATATATTTTAATTTCATACTGTATTTTCATTTACAATTATAATAAAATAGTTATAAAAAACAAAAAGTGTGTAAGATAATTATTTGACTAGAATTTGTTTTTATTTAAAATCTTTGATTGTATTAAGGTTTAAATATTGTAAAAAATATTTTTCAAAATATCACATACAGTAGAACCTCCATTATCCGGACCTCTGTTATCCGGATTTTCGATTATCCGGATTGTTCAAAATAAACAAACATTTTACGAATTTGCTGATTTGTACTTGGCGAATTACGATACTGTTTATGTACGTGATGGAGTGCATAACTTTTTTTGTTTCTACAACGTCTCACCCGGCACAGTGGCCGTAAACTCTTAAATATATTTTACGTAGTAATAAAAAACTTGACATACGTATTTATAAATAATTTATATTCAAATCACATCGTTTCTATGACCAAGGGCGGCGTAAGGCATGGACGACGTGGGCCACCGCCTATGCCTCGCGGTCCGAAGGGCCTCGCGCTTCGAAGGTTAATGCATTACTTAAAAGCCGTGAACGCGACGAAAAAATTTTACTCGTCATAAAACGATAAATAGTTTGTCAAATTTTTATTCATAAAAATGTAGTTTAAACTGCTTTTTATTTTATAAAATCCGTCTTATTGCGCCACCAGAGGGCCTTTTAAACAATAGGTAGTTTGTTAGCGTTGATCAGTAGTAGTCCAAATTCGATACGAACGTTTGTTTCTTGAAAATTTGATCACGATTTAAATACAGTATTTACTTTTAATGTTACCGATATGTCATCGAAAAGAAAACGTGTTGTATTATCATTAAAAGACAAATTAAAGTATTTGTTTC